TGAATTTTTTAATTATAATTCGTACAATGATAACGATTGTTTTAATTGAATATGCAATTAAAAAAGCTAATTTAAGATTCAAATTTAACACAAAATTAAGTGTTTACTTTTGTTAATTTGATAAGAGTTTGGTAGTTAAGGAAAAAGTACTTTAAAAAAGCATCCAATCACGTAAAAATCGCACTTATGTAAATTTTAGTAAAGTAAAATGACGCCAAGCTATTTCAAATTAAAAAAAATCCTTAATTTCCTTTGTTATTTGAATGGGAAAAATAAAATCAAAATAAAAGTACTTAGGAGTAATATTAAGGGCTGAAAATGTAAGGGCATTTTTTTCTCGATATGTACCTACATCAATATTTTGCTTGGGGAGTGACAAAAAATAAATGTTCCTTCAAAACGAATCACCCTATAGTATACACATACATAGAAGTATACTTGGTGCACCCTGTATACTTATTATACGCCTAAAGAAAGCACGAGGATTCTTTTTAACCAATAGAACTGTTACAAAAATTAGATCAACAGATTAAAAATAGAGTACTAACGCCATATATATATATACCACCATAAAAAAAAACTCAAATAATCTAGTTATCATGCATTTAGGTTTTAAAAAACATGGCAACACTACATATATGTACGTGATAAACCCTCAGAAAAAGAGTTTCTGCACCGCGGTGCACCGTTTAGAATTATTATTATTATATTTTATAAATAGATTTTTTCCATTATGTGATGAGTACACTGGGCAACCGATTTTGGTGTTTAAACATCGTGTAAAAGTCCAAATGTCAATAGCTAAAGGATCAAACAAATTGTTGGAAAAAAATTTCAAAAAAACCCATACTTCAAATTTGGGATTTTCGATGTATCAAGTGTTTCCAAATGGTGCAAATATTGTTTATCCAAAAATTGTTTTTATCCACTACAACATTGACAAGCTGTGACTTTAGTAAAATATGCTTTTGGGCTTTTTAGTGGGCTGAAGAAAGCATTATTACAAATTTGTAAAAAGTAAGGTTAAATTCGTCTGACAGTGTTTAGATATCAAATAAAATTCTTTTTTGTGTTCGTCGTTAAATAAACTTCTTTATATAAACTATACTATACCATACAATGTAATATTATTACAAAAAATATTTTATTACTAATTAATTTAAGTATTTTTATGAAGCAACATCTATACAAGAACAGAGTAACCAAATTGGTGTTAGGAATCTGTTTTATCGGCAATCAAAATGGTTAGTTTGTCAATTTTCTCTGTAAAAATCGAAATTTATCCCTTGAAAATAGACTAAAACCGTTTAAATCCGGTAAAGAAGTGCTCAGTTTTACACAGTGAAAGTGAAGAAAATGTTTTTTGGGTACTCCACCCGAAATTTTTAATGCTTTATCAAATACTAAAAATTTTAATCTGGTATTTGTTGCACAAAATAGAGTCATGCGGGTAATATTTAGTTTAAAATACAGTGTGACCCATTTGTTTGCGACTCACCCCTGCAAAATTATTATTTATTGTGCGATTTTAACCGGATTTGATTTAAAGTGTAGATCTTGATAAACTGTATTTTTGGAGGAAAAAAACGCCATATTTTTATAAAATAAAAGGCCTACTATGTCAGTTTTTAAGAGTAAATTTTTAAGAATTCATATTAGCGATTTTTTTTAAACAAAATCTAAGCACGGCACTGGATTCACCACCTCTTAAAACGACCCTTTACTTAATTTTATTGAAAAATTTTAAGTAGAAAAATGCACAATAATATATTAATAAGTACACAAATTTATTCTGTCAATTTATCCATGAAAAAACATTGAAATAAAATTAAACTTATAGTAATAGAAGCATGTTACTATTAGTTTAATTTTATTTCAATGTTTTTTTCAAGGATAACTTGACAAAATAAATTTGTGTAGTTATTATTGTGCATTTTTTTCTTAAAATGTTTCAATAAAATTTAAGATAGGGTCGTTTTGAGGGGTGGTGAATCCAGTGCCGTGCTTAGATTTTGTAAAAAAAACGCTAATATGAATTCTTAAAAATTTACATAGTAGGCCTTTTATTTTATAAAAATATGGCGTTTTTTGCTTCAAAAATACAGTTTATCAAGATCTACACTTTAAAACAAATCCGGTTAAAATCGCACAATAAATAATGATTTTACAGGGGTGAGTCGCAAACAAATGGGTCACTCTGTATATGGAATCCTGTAGAACAGTTTTCAAAAACAATAGAATTTTGACTGTGTATCAGTGGCGGCTGGTGAATTTTGGGTATACCAATATTTCAGTTATTAGACATGGGACCCACACCAAATTTATAATAGTATATAATGACATTAAATAGACAAGTTCGGCGCAAACAGAATTTAAATTGAAGTTTGCGAAAAAAAGTTAGTTTTTCCTGTCGCCTCACCCGCCTCCAGGCCGCCCTATTTAAGATAATTCAAATTAAAGTGGTGCAATTTATTATCTACTATAATTTATCGACAAATTTAAAATTTTATTTAAAAAATCCAAATACCATACCATTTTAAATATTTTTTTATTTTAATAAAATAAGTAATAAAAATTTGAAATCGAATAAAATCTGTAATATTTGGATTTTTTTAATAAAATTTTAAATTTTACGATAAATTATAGTAAATAATAAATTGCACCACTTTAATTTGAATAGGGGGGCCTGGGCGGGTGAGGCGACAGGAAAAACTAACTTTTTTTCGCAAACTTCAATTTAAATTCTGTTTATTGAATGTCATTATAAACTATTATAAATTTGGTGTGGGTCCCATGTCTAATAACTGAGATATTGGTATACATAAAATCCACCAGCCGCCACTGCTGTGTATGGTGTGTTTATTTATGAATCTGTATTGTTTTTATATAAAAATCCAAATATTTTTAAAATTGTTAAAACAAAATCCACAAGAGTTACCAACTACAATATTCCTCCACATAGAGTCTATATGAGAAAGGACCCTTATATTCTTGTATATATTTTTATACTAAAGAAGGTATTAAAAGCATAAAAACAATACAAGTATTTAAAACCACCCTTTATGATTATATTTGTGAAATGGAACCATAGTGATTTTACTATGTAAATTTTTCGGCCATGATATCCAAGTTTTGTTTGCATTCATTGACTAATTTTTATTTACTGTTTGTTTACTGTAACTTTTAAACATTATTTTTGAAATAAACTGTTTTCGATGGGCCACCCTGTATAAACTTTTCAGATTGGCGTCAAGAAACTTTTTTATTTTTGTACGTATTGAGATAATAGAAAAAATCCCGTTTTTATTAAAAATATTTTTATTAACATCGCACAATTGAATTATTTCACGCATATAGGCACTATGTTCTTTGGCTGTACAGTGTACACTTACGGAAAATTGTAATGCCTTTATTTCAATTATTGTCTTGACTGTATCTTGGAAATTAACTAACTAGAAAATGTAGAAAATTATTAAATATTTGCTTTAGTGTTTTAAAATTTGCCCCATTATTATTATCGTGTAGGTAGGTATTGAAATTTAAAATTTCTTATTTTTTGTCTGCAAGTGTACTTATAGTTTGTGCGTTTATGGCGGCCATAATATGGCCCCGCTTCGATTGGCCACTGTTTGCAGAAACATCACGTTCGTCAACTTTATGTGGGCTTTTGTTTTAACGATTTTAAATTTTCAACAGCGACTTGTTGATCTTAAGATGTAGTAAAATAGCGTGCGCTTCGAGGGAAATAAAACGCCAAATAAAATTTAATTCTAAAAAATAAACTTTAATAGTTTTTAAAGCAACATATGTATTAATATACAAAAACAGGCATTCGATGAATATTATAATCTAGCAACAAGTCATACGCACTTAAAATACTACACAGGGTGTCGCAAAAATGACAGTTAACAGAAAATGCGTAAAAGTATACAGGGTGTTTCATAATATATGCGCAGGACTTCAGGATGTGATAGCTCAACCAAAAAGATGAAAAAAGTCGCTATTAACTTACCCTCTAAAATGCACGATTTTCGAGATACAGGGTGTTGAAATTTTAGAAGAAAAATCGTTTTTTTCGATTATCTCTGGAACAGTTTATCGTACAAAAAACAGCTTTTGTAAGCATTTTTTACTCATAATAAGCTATGTTTTGTGCCAGAAAAAAATTTTTTTTACTTATAATTGGTGGAGATTTTGAAGGGGTAGCGGGTGTTTTTCTCCTCAACTTCTACGCCCCTGAAAAAAGTACGGTTTCGAGAGGCCCATTCGAACCGCAAATGTTTTCTACACAAAAAAGGTACTCTTGGTCATAAGCTCTAAAGTTGACCGTTTTCGAGTAAAATCAACTTTTATGTTTAAAAACATGGTCAATTTTTTGGAAAAATGTTTTTATTACTAATTAAACAAAATTTATTTTAACGTTAGAAAAAGTAACAAAACCAAACGATAATTGCAAAATTAAAAAAAAATAAAAAATGATTTTTTACACAAATGCTGAAATGTGCGAAATGCGTTACCTTTACGGTTTGGAGAATTTAGCAAAGACAACTTTTGAATTATTTTTTATTTGCGCAATTATGGTTTGGTTTTGTTACTTGTTCTAATGTTAAAATAAATTTTGTTTAATTAGTAAAAAAAAAATATTTTTTTTTAAATTGACCATGTTTTTAAACATAAAAGTTGATTTTTCTCGAAAACGGTCAAGTTTAGAGCTTATGACCAAGAGTACCTTTTTTGTGTAGAAAACATTGGCGGTTTGAATGGGCCTCTCAAAACCGTACTTTTTTCAGGGGCGTAGAAGTTAAGGAAGGCTACCCCTTCAAAATCTCCACCAATTATGAGGAAAAAAAAATTTTTTCTGGCACAAAACATAGCTTATTTTGTGTAGAAAATGCTTACAAAAGCTGTTTTTTGTACGATAAACGGTTCCGGAGATATTCGAAAAAAACGATTTTTTTTCTAAAATTTCAACACCCTGTATCTCGAAAATTGTGCATTTTAGAGCGTAAGTTAATAGCATCTTTTTGGATAAGCTATCACATCCTGAAGTCCTGCGCATATATTATGAAACACCCTGTATTATTGTTTTTCGGAATTCTTGATCAACCCTGTAGAATAAATACATCACTGGAATTTTCAGACTGAAAATGCTTATAATTCGGATAATACTTTTTTAACAACGAAATCTTTGAGATTCTCGTAGGCTTGATCGAGATTGTCATTGACGATGGTGACGTCGAAATTTCCTTCCGAAGTTCCATATTCCATTTCTTCCTCCGCTGCTTTCAGCCGTCTAGCTAACGTTTCTTCCGTCTCCGTGTTTCTAGCGACCAGCCGTTGCTTCAAGTGCTCCAGAGAAGGCGGTTTCACGAAAACGCTCCAAGGATTCAAATCGGTCTTCTTAATCTGCTTGACGCCCTGCACCTCTATGTCCAAAATGCAAACTTTACCGTCTTTGGCGACCGATTCGACCGCCTTTCGGCTCGTGCCGTACAAGTTGCCGCCGTAGCAGGCGTTTTCTATGAACAACCCGTCGCTTATCGCCTCCTTCATCGCGTCCATTTCGGTGAAAAAATAGTGCTTGCCGTGGACCTCGCCCGGTCGCGGTTTTCGCGTGGTGTGGCTCACGCTGAACCCGAATTTATCCGGGAAATCGTCCAGCAGTTTCTTCAGAAGCGTGCTTTTTCCGGAACCTGAAGGTCCGCAGAACATCAGCGGCCGGATGGTTTTTAACGTGGACATCATGTCTGGAACACAAAGGGGCATTTTTAAACGATTTGATAAAGTCTTGTTTTGCGGAAAATTATGGATTCAGTTTTTGACAATCATCGTTGTCATTTTTTGGGAAATTGTTGTCAGCACGATGGTCTTTTACTGACGCTTTAAAATGTACAACAAAAAATCTATAACCAATTTAAAATTATTTATTATCCTATTCACTTTGACATTCAGAATAAAAGTTTAAAAATATAATTTTTTTTTCAAGCGGCCATGATATACAACGTTATATGCATGTATAGAGATAGTTGAAGTACGTCTTTTTCATTAGCGGCAGACAAAAAACTCAAAAAAGCCTAGGGATAGAAGTAAATCCATAGGTGACTCAATAGACGTCAAATAATAAAATTAATTTAGCATTTCATACAAAGCAATCACGATGTATTAATTATATTAATTATAATCGCACGGAATATTTAGTGATTATTTATTAAATTTTATTTGAACGAAATAAAGAACAACTAGTTTATTAGTATAATATAATGATGATAGACGAGTCGCCAATGTCGGAACTCCAAACAAATGTCAGTACGTCAAAATTAATTCAAGCGCAGCATTTTGACAGAGCAGTGTTTATTTTTAGTTTAGGCTTTGTTATCTATGGTTTAGGATATTTATCGGCATTGTAAGTAAGGGTTATAAGTTTTTTTACTTTTTATCAATAATTTGTAATGCTTTTAGCCAAAATTTTATACCACATGAGTTATAACTAAATAAAATAATTCTATTGCTTATCCTATTTATATTACGCCCTTGAAAAAAAAATTGTATATGTTATTTGGAGTAGAAGCTCTTTTTGTGCTTCGTACAGTTGCCTGCCTCAGCTACGCTTCGGCCGTCAATCTCTGTACTCACCACAAAAAGAGCCACTTCTACTCCTTATGACATAATCTACTATTTTTATATAAACAAGTTAAACTAATTTAAAAGAAAACTTAAAACAATAATACAAGGTGGCGGTAAAGTCATCACCCAATTTCCTAAGGCTATAACCTTTTTTTAAATGAAAAGATCAGTTCTGTTTGTAAATAATGTTTATTTGGACCTTTACATTTTTTTCTGTTAAGTCGAGAAAATAATATCGGCCAAGTGGCCCCTGCTTGAGTTGATGCACATTCGGGCATTTTCCATCACTTTTCTTCAGGCGATAAAGGCGAAACTTTAAAAACTTAAAAAAATCCCAAAGAAAGAAGTCAAGGCGAGTAACAATGCCTAATTTCTTGTTTGAGGGTATTTCCACGAAACCTTACCGCACAAAAAATCAGATGTGTTATTTAACAAAATAACAACTATATCTGAAGTCAAATGGTTTAATTGCGACGTAATTTATAACCTTAAAATATTCGTACATTGTGACGCTAAGAAGCTAACATTAAGAATAAACACGGAAGAGTTTCAAATTGAAACTTTCAATACTCGATAAAATGTTCAAATGTCGCACCCGTTACATTTTGAGAAAATTTTATAAAATAAAGTATACAATATTTGTGCTTTTAAAATACGTGCTTGTTTAAGGTTACTCAAGTTTTACACAAAAAATTATTACTATATGCTTTCATTCAAAATTTTACAGTATAAACTTTAGAAGCCAACTTGGTCGCATTTGCCGATTTTCCAAGGTCGCGCCCGTTACGCTATTCATGACGTTAAAAAAGGTTTTCTATACAGTTTTTAATTGACATTTTGTTTGAGTTAAATACCTAATTTTTATACTATTTTTTTTATTTATATCTTGATATATATCAACAAACACTTTATTATCATGAAAAAACGCAGTTTTAGTGTCGCACCCGTTACAATGGAAATACCCTTTAGTAATTTGCAGACTGCTCCAGACTTTTTTCTTTAAGGTTATTTGAGATTTTCTCGGCTTAACAATGTAAACATGTAAAGGTCCAACTAAACATTATTTTCAAACAAAACGGTTTTTTCATTTACAAAAAAAGTTATAGCCTTAGGAAATGGAATTATTATCATTGCGGAAAATGCTCTAAAACGCGCCCAAATGTGCATCAACTTTGGCGGGGGCCACATGGCCGACATTATTTTCTTGACTTAACAGAAAAAAATGTAAAGGTCCAAGTAAACAATATTTACAAACAACCGATTTTTTTCATTTACAAAAAAATTATAGCTTTGGGAAATCGGGTGATAACTAAATTTTATTACTTATTATAAATATTTTTTTCTACTCCTATTACGGAATATGACCATTCTAATATCGCTTTTAAATGAATTATTAATGAATTATTTTATCACCGGATTACGAAATAACATATATGTATGTACCTCCACATACTTGGAAGTATTTGGGAATAAACACTGGTGGAGACATCTCTGTCTTTAAAATCTAACAAATTTTAGACCGATCCAACCTCACTTTCTCCCAATTAAATTATTTTTCTACGATATTTTTTGGAAACGTAGAAAAAGTATAGTCTGAAACGTATGCCGTATTCCAAACATGTTACAGAAAATACTATTTAGACTAAGCTTAATCTTAACCAATCATAAAAGCAATTGTTGCTTTATCTTTATTGGAATTAATATTAATTCTAAATCAAACACCATTCATTGCGGCATCCCATAAATTCACCTATTTTTAGCATCAATAACGTTATAAAAAGCACACAGTCACTATTTCTAGTGTCTAATTCATGTTTCTGTTGGTATTAATAGAATCGAGTGAGCGGAAAAACAAGAGCAAGAGCTTACCTGCGCCAACACGTGCACAAGTAGGAAATGATACGTAAAATCGAGGTTATAACTTTATTTTTTATGCATTCGTTTAGCACAGTCGTCGAGTTTGTTCGGTAAAGATCGGTTCTATATCAACATAAATGTTAATTCGTGGAATCGTTTATTGGCTTTGCATAATTTTTCTTTTTATGTGTTTAAATTTGATTTGAGTTTAAGTATTATTTATTTGTTGTCTACATACAAGGGTTAGATCCATATCAAATAAGGGCCTGCGTAAAGTTTTACATAATGATTAACATAACACTTAACATATTACAGAAGAATATTCTTGATACATTTTTTACTATTTCCCCCGCTCACATTCCTTTTTTCTCTTATCGATCACCATCAGCCTTCTTTCCCTCTCGTACTCCTTCATCCTTATCAAAAAATCGTCGTATTTGCAGTTCAAGTACACGTGCTTTTCGTGCGAACAAAACACGACGAACGGGAACTTCTCCTTTCTGCACGCCATGTACTTCAAGAGGAGATGCGCGCAGAAGTCGCGATCTTCCAGCGGTAACTTCGCACTGCGCATCTCTTCCTCCAAAGCGCGCATCTCTCGCGCCTTTCTGCCGTCCGTGGCGTAATATTTCTCGGTTTTGGGGCTGGGGGCGTCCTCGAAAGGGCACGGGGTCACATCTGGGTAGTATCTTAGTTTGAAGCCCGAGAAAGGGTAGTCTCCTATCCAGTCCGAATTGAAGGCGTTGCCCATTTTGAGTTCTCAAGATTTAAGGACGTTTGTCAAAATTTGACGTTTTAGGAGAAATTTCAACTACAAGGTGCATATCAAAATAAATATTGTTTTGGTAATACGCTAAAGAAGTATCGCTAGTAGCGCCACCAGTCGGCCGTTATCATCGTAATGAAACTACATTTTTAGCTGTTAAACGCTTATGGGTATTTCCACGAAACCTTACCCCACCTTGACAAAAAATCAGATGTGTTATTTAACAAAATAACAACTATATCTGAAGTCAAATAGTTTAATTGCGACGTAATTTATAACCTTAAAATATTCGTACATTGTGATGCTAAAGCTTAATTATCATGTATCCGTTTGTCCGTCAGTCCGTTCATCCGGGAGCGCTCTTATTGGTCCAATTATAATTCGAAAATTATGACATTTTATCGGTCCGTCAAGTTTCAACTTGTACGTCTGACAGAAAGGTCTGAAGAAAGGTTAAATAATTTTTTCTACTACCTTAATGGAAAACTTAATTTTCCACCCCCGAGCGAGGGAGGAAAATGCCCCTTTTCCTCCCAGGGAGGAAAAAATATTTCCTCCCTCTATTTTTTTTAACAATTTTACATTAGCAAGAGTTTTGTACCTTGTCTAGCCTTATTTGATTTTGTACGAAAAAGATTTACTCCGCGCTTGTTCAACCATTCTTTGTTTAGTTTAGTTTAGTTTTTTGCTTATAACAAATGTTTTAGCAGTGTCAAAGTTACAAAAAAAATACAAGACTACATTCCTTTTTATATCGCTTTTTCGATTTTTGAGGAAGAAGATTAATTTCAACTACTCTTGCCTCTTCAGCAAGATCTTGCGGTAGGTCTTCTTCGCTAGAACTCATTTTTAAAACGTAGGAAGAATTTCAAATTTATGATAACCTGACAGCTTATAACAACTGTTATGTTTGTTTTACAAAAATATCATAGCAACAAAGCGTTGTCAACACAACGTCGGCGACACAAAACCTACTTAATATTTTGTCATAATCCCTGCTTAAAATACCCCATAGAGACCTATACAAAATAATCTATCGGGCGCTACCGGATTCAATATGTGCATTTGTCCATGGTTTTTTCCGGATACAGCCCGATAGAAAATGTATAGGAAATTACCTATAGGCACACCATAACTTTTACATTTTCCCTATTGAGACCGATAGAAAATAACTCAATGAAGGATATATAGGGATATCCCTATAGAACATTTGACAAAATTTTATTAAAACCTATGGGGTCCTATAGGGAAAAAACTAATTTCTACATTTATGTGTATTTTCCACATTGAAACCGATAGCAAATAAATCAATGGTGGATATCCCTATAGAACATTTGACAAAATTTTATTAAAACCTATGGGGTCCTATAGGGAAAAAACTAATTTCTACATTTATGTGTATTTTCCACATTGAAACCGATAGCAAATAAATCAATGGTGGATATCCCTATAGAACAACCATAAATCTCAACTATGGGTCCTATACAAACCGATACACCCTATAGAAAAAATAACCCGAACCCTTAAATTGTCTTTAAAACCGTTAAAAGGTAATAGAAAAAACCATATACATACCTCAGGAGGAAAATGCGTTTCCTCCCTTGAATATTTAATGCCCTTCGCTTCGCGTCGGGCATCAAACTATTCACGGGAGGAAAAGCATTATTTTCCTCCTATGGTATGTAAATAGCTATTAATTCATCCGTCACTACACATCTGTTTTTGACGCCTAACGTTATTTTAAGATAATTTATTTTCAAATATTTTTATATTTTTTCAATAAGATTGTAAAACGGAAATATAACGTTCGTTATGTGAATAATGTTTTACTGTTAAGTTTGTATTTAATAAGAATAACGGAAAAAAAGAAAGGACAAACAAAAAAAAATTAAAACTAGAACTAAAAGGACCTGCTTTTTTAAGACTATACATTTTAATGTATATTAGGGCTAGTATATTCTTTTTATAAGGTATATTTACCTACCTTTAAATTTATTAGACAGCTAACTGTTAAGGTTACAATTGTTGACATAATTGTAACTAATAGTCATAATGACAATTAAGCATTAGATAAATTTAGTAAGTGAATATACTGACACTTAATTTCTATTTGTCGCAAAATCAATCCGTTAAACGTCATTAAAAAATGTATGCATGAAAATTAGAACATTTCGTATCGGACGATTTTATTGAAAAACTGACATACGGATGACGGACAAACGGATACATGAAAATTAAGCTTAAGAAGTTAACAAATGTCGCACCCGTTACATTTTGAGAAAATTTTAGGAAATAAAGTATGACTATAGCTCCGAGGATGTCGATGCAAGCCTTTTTGATATATTCAATGTTCCTAAAATGCCTTTTTTATCGGCAAATGCATTTTTTCAAATAGGTACACGGCCATAAATCAGGGAAATGCGGCAAGCGATTGATGGTTAAAACTAGATTTTTGTTAAAAGAAAAGGCTGAATTTTGAGTTATTTTTGGTATGAGAAAAAAATTACCAACAAGTTGGTAATCATACCATAAACTTGTTTCAACAATTAAAACGTTTTGGTAAAAGTTGGCAACTTATGTTAAAAACAACTTAATATTGCCTTTGTCATAAAACTTTTATAGGACATAAATGAATGAAGACCCTTACCAACGCAGGGCACCAACAATCTTAAAATTCTGAGCCACCAATAGATCCCAAGCAGCATTTTAAGTTTAAATAACTACAAATTTACTACTAAGTCAACTTTAAAGTATTTTTTATGGTTACCCAAACGGTTTTATAACGGTATAGATACGAAAAATTACCAAATTTGGGGAATGGTTTATTTTGTTATTTTCCCTACATAATAACCTTTTTGATCTACTAAAAGAATAACGTAATAAAAACAATATAAATACCACAAATTTACCTAAAAATAACGCTATAATTACTAACTGTTTCCTCTATCTTTCTAAAACATTGACATTCGTAATTTCTTTGTTCTTTTAATTTATATTTTACAAAATGGTACTTACAAAGTAGTAAAGGCCACCCTAGAGTAAAATTAAAAAATATAACTTAAATTGTCAAAACTAATAATATTTTGCATTAAAACTCAAACGCACACTATTTTATTGATAAAAATAGGCACGATACATTTTAAAAATTATATGCCCTCTAAATCTACGATTTTAAGAAAAATTATTGCTTGGGTAAAAATTCAACAAAACTTAAAACCTACAAAATATTATAAAACCTTTTAAAAATCATTTATAAAACCTATTAAAAATCATTATGACGATCTGAAAAAAAAATCCTTAAAGTTTTATTTTTTACTTTAAGCTTATTTTTCCTTGTTTAGTCAATATTATTACCACTAATAACCCTAAAAAATACCACGCGAATAGGAATTATTTACGGTTATAAAGTGGTCTTAATATCGTAAAATTATGACGTACTTATGAGTAACATTTACCATTAAGTAAAAATTCTGACGTTAAAATTACCGTTAAATTTTCTTTTAGGTGAAATACACTTATAAGTAATTTTCTTTCGTAAAAATTACGTCCCTCATAATACTTTATAAACTTTAAAAAAAGTTTTACTTCAAATTAAATTTTTAAGGTTAATTTAACAAAATATTTACCTAAATTAAGTAATATTGCCTCAAAGCTCTACGCTTTTACTTAAAATGCTGCTTGGGATAGCGCCTGTTTACTTTGAAAGGTAGAACCCATATGGAGTCTGGTTTTCAACTCAGTTGTTTAAAATTTGGAAATGTCGTAATTAGATATGTATTCCCAAAAGCACTTATTTGCTAATTAGTTCGTTTTTATGGTCGTTATCTGCATGGTAAATATTTATTTCGGCTTTTAATATTATTGCAATAAAAATAAACTGCTTTAACAAAACTTTACTATGTGGTAGGTCTAATTTATTTTGGTAAAACGGATACAAACTGGTTTATTATATACAGACAAAATTAGTGAAATTGTTAGTATTGGTTAAATTTTGTTTTATTGGAAAAACAAGGATTTTTTTGTTCAGGATCTATTTTTTTCCGAGTAAAATGAGAGAGGTGAAAAACTGGAGTAGTCCAATTTACCTAGTAGTGCTTAGGTATATGGTATCTACGTAGAACAAAAATGCCTAACCAGAATTTAAAAATAACTACTGCATCTTCAAAATGTATTGCATGTGCAAAATTGCAAGTCTATACAATCTTTCCTTACTCATAGAAGAACACAAACAACTTTGTAAATAAATGAATTATCTTAAAAGACAATAAAATAAAAAACTTTGAAAACTTACAGGGCTGTCCATAGCAAAAAACACCATATTTTTTACAAAATTCAAGGACTTTCATGTCAGTTTTTGAGAGTAAATTATTAAAAATTCATATTAGCGATTTAAAAAAATCTATGCACAGCACTGGATTCACCACCCCCCTAAACGACCCTATAGGGTATATATAATAAATTTTATTAAATTCTAAGTAGGAACGATTTCGTGTCCAAATTAAAAATGCACAAAAATTACTTTTTACAAAAAAAATTCTGTCAAGTTATCCATAAAAAAACATTAAAATAAAATTAAACTAATAGTAATAAATATTCTTATGCTTAGTTTTAACAAATAAAAAACGCAATAGAAACTAATCCACCATTTATTTCAATACACTTTCATACTAGCCCGTACTTCTGCTGATTTTTTTTTTATAAAAAAATTTATACCATGTTACTATTTCTTTAATTTTATTTTAATGTTTTTTGCATGGATAACTTGACAGAATATTTTTTTGTAAATAGTTATTATTGTTCATTTTTAATTTGGCTACATGATCCTACTTTTAATAAAATGTATTATAGGTTCGTTTTGAGGGGTGATGAATCCATTGCCATGCAGATTTTTTTTTAATCGCTTATATCAATTCTTTAAAAATTTTTCTCAAAAACTGACATAGTAGGCCTTTTATTTTGTAAAAATATGGAGTTTTCTGCTCTAAAAATACAGTTTATCAAGATATGTAAACT